AAGTCGAGAAGAATGAGATGGGCGGGACATGTAGCACGCATGGATGGGACAAGAGGTGTGCACCGGGTATTGGTCGGGAAGCCTGAGGGGAAGAGACCGCTGGGGAGACCTAGACGTAGATGGGAGGATAATCTCAGGCGGGATCTATGGGAGATAAGAGTTGAAGGAGACTGGATTTTGTTGGCGCAGGACAGGGTCCGGTGGAGGGCTTTGGTTAATGTAAGGTTTATTTTGTATGTTGTAGCTGCACCTAGCAGCACTTGCCTCATTAAAGGGCGAGATCTTGGACCTGTCAAGTCGTCTGCACACTGTAACGCAGGAACGGGATCTTTTGGAGAAGACTCTCAGCAAGACACAGGTGATGAATTATTGTCGTCGTCATCGTCATGTTTAAATCAACATGCAGATACAAACTAACTCTTCCAGTTTCGAGCAGTTTCCAGTGCTTAATTCTCACAACAAAGAAATTCCAAATCTTTGTATTTGAAGCTTTGCGTTCATTGAATAATGCAATGATGGGAAGTTAGTAATGGAGACATTTAGGGTCTGCTTAATTCTGTGGCTCTTTAAACTATACTGACAAAATATTTCCAGCAAAGACCAGTCTGTGATAAAAGTATCATGGGCGTATATGGCATATATGAGAGTACTTTAAATAATTCATGCTGGTTTCATTTATAGGTTAGATAATTATTATATGTCAATTTGTAAACACATTTAATTATGGGCCTTCTTATCAGAACATTTTAGCAGATCCAGGAAACCGTATGTTGTGAATTATCCGGGTATTGACATCAGATATGCCAGTCATTTGTGTGAATGATAATCAGTGCATACTTTACGCTAACAGCTGGAGAAACTCCGTTTGGTAGCTGAAACAGAAGAGCGTGCTGAAGTACAAGCTCAGCGCTATGAAGAGAGACTAACCGAACTGCATTCCGTCATAGCCGAGCTGAGTCGCAAAATTGACCGGCAAAGAGCGCTCGTCATACGCGAAGAAGATGACATATCTGGTAAGTGGTTCCATTATTTTATGGTAACGTGTAATTAATCACCGCCTTTCCACATAAGAAACGAGGGACTTTGTGAAGTATACAGATCACTTCAACTGGGGTTTTCCATAGCAGGGACAGAGATCTTTCTGTTCTCCATTATGCCCAGCATCTTGTTTGATGGGTACCACAGGCTTTTTCCCTGAGGTAACTTGGCTGGGGCATGAAGTAAGTCATTTACCTCCATCTAGTGCTCCATGAAGTTTGTTAGGTCAGAATTCTTCTTCTTCTTCTTCTATGGCTCTCCGGTCCGTATTCGGTCCATGGCCTCCACAATTCTCCTCTTCCATTCGGTCCTATGTTAGGTCCGTGTCCGAGGTTGATTGCGGTTTCCTAAACAAAATTCTTGTTATGCAGAAAATGAAGACCCAGAAATCAGTCGGTGTGAGGCAGAAGGCTCAACAGCAAATCTGGCTGATGATTCAGAACTTCAGGATGGTGATAGAACACTTGGTGATGTGGACTCAAGTAGCGCGGACTGCTGTGAAAACCAACATCAACCAGGAGAGGAGGTAATTGATATTTATTTTCATTCAGCTATGCATCTCTGTCTAGTGATTGAATGATGTGTTCTTTTTGATTGCGAGCAGATTCCTGACCCTCGTATTTATGTTTAATAGTGTGAATTTTTAGACAGCTGGAACATCAAGGAAAGAGACCACTTGAAAGACCCAGGCATAGATGGGAGGATAATATTAGAATGGTCTTAGAGAACTATGATGTGGACTAGATACATGATGCTTAGTTTAGAGATCAGTGGCAGGGTGTTGTAAACATAAAAGGCAGAGAATTTCTTGACTAACTAAGAGACTGTTAGCTTCTCAAGAATTATTAATACTTAAAGTCTTGAAGAGTTTTCAGTCCCCACTGTGGACACAGTATTATATTCCCAAGTCCTACTTTATTTTCTCCGTTTACGATAGATTTTTCTTTATATTATCAGGAGTTTGTATGTCTCTTAGGCTGAAAGTCCGACGGGAGAGGCACTGCCCACAGCCAACGAATCTCAACCTCTCAACAAGGAGACTGCTACTTCTTGCCACAGCCTACAGATGGCAGCACTTGCTGAGGAACTGGCACATATGCGAGCAGAGAATGCAGCATTACAAGAACAGCTGTCCCGACAAGAAGAAGAGCTCAGTCGAACCCGGGGTGCTCTGGGCAGTCTAAGAGGGGATCGAGACCGATTGCGAAAGAAGGTACACTGAATGGGAGTCAGAATCTGTCAGGAACAGATTTAGTGAACTGTAATTCAAAATTAACATTTTTATCATTATACAACAGACTAGGGTGAAGTTTAATGAGACAATACGTTGTCCATTTAATATTAAGAAATACACGTGAAGATGGCCTTGTCACGCTGAGACGAGTAGTGCAGCAAGATTATATTTAAAAAAAATGGTGTGTTAACAGTGACATTCCACACAAACACACACACATACATATTTATTTATTTATATATTACTCTTTAAATAAAAGATGTTTCTCTGTATGCTGACTAGCCTATGGTAAATTATGCTTTGTCAATGAATGTGTAGATTTTTTTGTTTAATTATTACCTATTGTTACATATTTATAGCAAATCATATTATGCTCTGATGGGAAATTTTGAATTATCAGAGAATGATGACAGTGTTAATTATTAGATAAGTATTCACTTCAGTTTTTTGGATCAAACTGAGGATATACAACATTCAGATACTTAACAACCATATTTCAGATTCGTGAGGTAGAAGGAAAGCTACAGCAAGACACATCACGTTGTGCCTCCCCTGCTCCAACACCGTGCCCTGCTGGAACCCCTGCTTCTAACATGGCAGTGGTGCCTCAAGATAACATGCCAGTTTGTAAGATTGCAGAACGAGTTGTCCTTCGCAAAATGGATAACAACCGACAGATCACTGGTTCTCAGCTTGCAACGTATGGCGTAAGTGCCATATGGTCCGCTATAAACTAGCCTTGTGTACTTTATTATCTCAGGAACTCAGTGTTACGTTATCAAGTAACACCCAACACACTCGCTTTATGTGAACAGCATTACAATGCGAACACATTCATGAAGGTGTCAAGTGATGTACTACCATGTATTCTGGTAGATGATGATTGGTATTTCAGAGGATCTTGCTGCCTCTATTACCATCATCACCATTATCTACCAGTTTACATGATGCTTCATCTCAAAAGACACACTGCCTCTCTTACCATCATCACCATTATCTACCAATTTACATGATGCTTCATCTCAAAAGACAGTCATTATGTTTATCACCGTAAGCTCCTCAAATCTGATCTGCTTAAAACCTGTTTCCTCATGCAGCCTTTTTCATATGGACAGAAAAATATTTTATGGTTAAAGCTTGTTTAAACACATTAATTTCTCACTTGTACCCACTTAATGAAACAGGTGTGCAACACTGTCCTAGCAGAGAGCCTGGTTAGTGAACTCCAAGAGGCAGATCTGCAGGAGCTAAGTCGTAGCGAGGCTGTGCGAAGACAGTATGAGGTAGAGACCGAACGACTCACGAGCAGGCTGGAACACGCGCGTGCACAGAATGCTGTCCTAGCCCTCACGTTAGATGAAAGCAAAACTCAGTGTGACAGGTTGAGTTTGCTTGTGGGAAAATATGAATCAAATGCTACAGCATTAAGGTACGCTGAGATCTGTCTGACTCACGCTGTTGCGATGTAGCATGTCCTGGTGGCTACATGTTTTTTGTGTAATTATCACACCATCAGAGTGTATTACACTAATTAATTCATACTAGATTCAAATATAACTAATATAAATTTCATTCCTTGACTCATATCCGTGAATAATTTAATAAAGTCAGATTTTTTTGTTTTTACTAACAAACTCCAGAAACCTTCTTGAGAAATGTATTTGTTCACTTGGTCTATAAATTCAATGTGTCTGATGGAACCCAAAAGGTTTGCTGCCTTGTACCAGAACTGACTGTATGCCTCAAACCAATGCATATTGATGCAGACATATATTCATCACAGGTTGGCATTAAGCTACAGCGACAGAGCTATAGAAGCGTACGATGTACTGGTGGCATTACTTGAGAGTGAGCTGGGTCTCCTGCTTGCCAATTGCCGAGCAGCGGGCATTGGAAACCAGAATATGACAAAGGGTGAGTGGAAATTATGTTGGCTAAAGATTTAATTCTGATAGTGAAGATTTATTTTAATTTGTGTTTTCCAATTAAATTGCTTAACAGGTGATTCAGAACATTTGTAAGATTCTGTAATGATCTTTTATGTTAATACTTTGAAATGAGAGTAGCTTATTTGATCTCCTTAACAGCTCTTAAACTTCTGAAGCTCTTTGACTTTAGTTACAATAATTCATCGCTGTCAACAGATGACATTGTGGCAGATGGCGATAATGACTGCGCCGGAGAGGTGGTAGCTTTACTGAGACGTGCGGGTGAGAACCGCCGGGCAGCGGAGACAGTAGCAAGACATATGTTAGCCAGGCTTGACAATGCCAGTGCTACTGGGGGCATGGGTCCATGGGACGACTACAGTCATACCACCAGGTATAACATATGTATTGTTTTCACTAAGATTAATTTATTTTTGTTAAATATTAGCACATCACGTGTTTGTAATGACATTTTCAGGTGTAAAAACCCATCAGCTAGAACAGTATATCGAACATTTACAGACTGGAAGCAACGAAATTAAGAAAACTGATAAGATAAAAGAATTTTATATTAACTGTCTTTACAATTATGTAACCTTATAGCAGTCATTGAGTTAATATGCTGCATTTCAGACACCAGATGCGAGGATGAATATGCAGTTCTTTAAGAAAAGCATGGGTTGTTGTCTTGGTTATCATAGCACAAGTTCATCCAGTGACTGCTGCAGTGAATGGGGTCAAGGGGAGGAGCGTAGGTTACGAGATCACATCGGCAAGCTGAAGACAGAGCGCAGCTCTGTAAAAGCGACAGTTGTGGAACTGGAGAGTTGTCATGCAGAGCCTCTTGTGGCGAGGCAACCGATCTCATTGGCTGAGGCTCGTAAGCTGGATCTCGAAACGGCAGTGCTCATGCAGGTACAAATTTGTTTGTGTCATAATTTTATGAGTAAATGTTTTGAGGTATGAAATGAAACATTCAGGTTGATTATAAATGGTGCATTGAGAGATACAGGTGGAAACAGTTGTGGTTGATTTTTATTCAGTATCGTAGCATTTACGTGAAGGTGAGGTGAGAAGCAGAGAAAAAGAATATTCAGGCCTGGCGGGGTCCTATATTTTAAACTAAAATACAAGTGCATAACAAGTACTGGTACGTATTTCTGATTGTAACAATACTAAGTTACCTGAATAAATCAAGAAGTTTCTCATTATGTGCTTATTTGCCTTATCCTACTTGGATCCAAATATCTTCATGAGAAATTTGTTTTCAAACATTTGTAAGGTCTTCCCTCAATGTAAGGAAAAATTTGTTATAATTGTATCCATACAAAACAGCATTCTTACTTTTTGGTAACAATTTTGGAATTCACGAAGCATACAAACATTTGTGAGGTCTTCCCTCAAAGTAAGGAAAAATTTGTCATAATTGTATCCATACAAAACAGCGTTCTTACTTTTTAGTAACAATTTTGGAATTCACGAAGCATAAAATGATTTGCAACCTTTCTCCTTCACATTGTGAATTCAGGAGTTGATGGCTATGCGAGAAGACAAGGCTGATTTGCGAGCTCGAGTGTATCTGTTGGAGAAAGAACGCTCGGCTCTGGAGCTGAAACTTAGTTCACAGGAGGCCCACCAGGCAGCACAGCAAGCTACAGTGCAACATCTGCAGGCACAGCTACAGGATGTTGAGAGGAGGTTACGAACCCAGCACCAACAGGTGAACATCCCCCTTTGGTTCTTCATTTGATCCATAAATAAAAATACCATGTTTGCCAACATAGATCATACACCATCAGTACACATATTAACACATTCTTCAAAAATTGGCCCAATAGTTGTCATTAAAACTTTCCTTTAATTCTCGTACTTTTATCACAGGACTTGGGATGTGAAGGAGAAGACGATGATTCTGAATTGGCAGACGCTCTTAGACGAGAAGCTAGATTGAAAGAACGTATGCAAGAACTAGTTGCAACACTGGAGAAGGTTGGTAGGAATTCTGAACTACGCCATCAGCAGTCTGCTGACCTGGTAAATGACCTGAAACGTGCTAACAGGTTAGTGTGAACAGTATTGGTTGAGGAGATTGGCTCTATGGGGCAGGGACCTTCTTGAGAAGGTAACAAGTACTTGTCTATCAATATATTTCCCACCCTTATTGGAACCTGGAGATTCATTACTGTATTCTAGACCTCTGGTTCTTGTCCCTAGTCAAAAGAACCCAATCCACACCCTATTTCTTAATTATCGTCATCAGACTAGGTCATTGACATGTTTTGACTCATAAGGAAACATCTAATCATCTTTTAGGATGTAAGACTTGAGGTTCTCACAGCGGTGAGTATGAAGATATCAGTCTTCTGGGTTATTGCGCTGTGTAGTCTGGTCGATGTTAACCAACGTTTCAGAGGTCATACTGCCTCCGTCATCAGGGTTATAATGTCAGCAGCAAGTACTGAGTAGTACTGAGTATTTAAGATTTGAGGTTCTCACAGTGGTGAGTATGAAGATTTCCGTCTTCTGGGTTAGGATATCCCACATCTTTGTGACCAGTGGGAGTGTATTCTGAAATTGTAAATGTGATTTAAGGTTCTGACGGTGGCACATATGAAATTGGCAGCCTACTAGGATGTTGTGCCATGTAGTCTTTATAGAAGTTGACCATTGCTTCAAAGGTTCATGGAAATGTTGCATATACACAAATGTGAGCCTGACAGAACACCATTTTGAAACTTTAACCTCTCCTTTGACACATCAATGTCATCCATGCATGCATTATCACGTGATTCTGACGCGCATAGTAGAATCTGAAAAAGTTGCAAGCCTGTGTTTTCATGTCAAGATTTTTGTGAGTATGGTACTGTGTAGTTTCAACTCCCGTAATTACTGTTTTAATTTGTATTGTATTTTAGTGCACTTGTTCAGACACTTGAGAGGTCGAAAAAGAAATACCAGTCGCGACTAAAGAAACTAGAGCAGCAGATGCTGGAGATGGTGGAAAGGCACTCGGCACAGGTGAGACCCCTGCATTCTGAAATCTCTGATCGCAGCCATACACGTCTCACTGCATGAGACCAGTGAGGTAGAAATTAAAGTGGGGACTCTCTTAGGATAAAAGTTTGGCACCTATCCAACTCCGGCTCAGGTGGGGTCCGCAATGGCCGCGCAGTCTGATGCGTGGGCCTTCTGCCGCTCGGTCGCTGGGACCATGGGTTCGAATCCCACTCAAGCCGTGGATGTTTGTCCGCGTTTTTCTGTGTTGTGCTGTCCTGTGAACAGGTAGAGGCCTTGCGACGGGCCGATCCCTCGTCCAAGGAGTCCTACCGAATGTCTATAGATCAAGCCAACGAAAAGTTGGTACCCGCAGTGCTCAGGCACTTGAAGAACAGGTCGTTCTCAGTACCAGTACCCAGTATTCCTGTCTTCAGGTGACTGGCTGTCATCGTACTGATATTTTATTCATATTGTTAGTGCTTTGCTGCTGTTGATCATGAGTGATCATCATCACCACCATTGCAGGATAGTAGTGGCAGTGTAGTGGTAAGATTTTTGTGTTCTGTTCGATCATTTGGTGGGGTTGTGATCTGCAGCAGTTGTATTGTAATAGTCTAGTTGTCTAGAAGCCAGACAGTCATTATAATTTTGTGGACTTTTCTTCATATTACTGTTATGTTTTCAGGTGAGGACATTGAAACAAAAAATTAACACTCTTGAAGAAGAACTTGCAACTTGCAAGTCGAACGGTTTCCACACGCAACAGCAACAAAGCAACCGATCACAGAGTTCAGGAGCAAGTGAAACTTCCTTGTGACAGGAAAAGTAGCAAGCCACATCACAGTAGCTTGTCCTGTCCATCATGAAACCAGTCTCAAGGATCGTTACTCTTCAGCTTGTTAAATGGTAACATTGATAATAAAATGGCCAATTTGACACTGTCAGTGAAATAATAAATAGGCGTTTGCTCCTTTCAGTGGCCTATAATTCAGAACATGTTTAGTTATGTTTATTAAGGTCTACAGGAATATTATGTTAAACTATTTTATAGCTAATGGCTTTAGGAAATAATGCTGTTGTTATATTGTTATTGCTCTGATGAATTTATTTATTTTTACCCCAAAGCATATTTCATACATAACTCTCTGCAGAATTTTATTTTATTTCTTATAGATATATCAAAGGGAAAATGTAAATGTACATCTGCTGTCAGAATGTGTGCATTTATGCAGGTATTAAGCTTTTAAAAACAATCCTAAAATTCATTAGAGCATTTCCTATTTCATTTGTAAAAGAAAATAACTTGTTCATAAATGAAGACTTAAATAACCAAATGGGCTCTAATCAGTTTACAGCTTAAGAGACAAACTATCGTAATACGAATCGAAAGCATTTCTGAATATTTATTCAGTTATTCCGATGTATATAATCATTTAAGAAAGCTGCTGGTACTGTGTACCAGTGCATACCGCCACAAAAAAAGTTACAGTGGAACCACGGTTCCGGAGAATTTGACGTAAATACGTCTCTGTATTTAAATTATATTTACGTCTCTGTAATGTAATGTAATGTAATGTTATCTTCAATGTCGTCCATCTTGTTACGAAAGCAGATTGTTGACGGCAGTAATGTAACACAACAATGCCGAGTAAACAGATGACGTTTCCTAGGTAACATAACAATGCACGCAAGCTGACCATTGTTGTCAGTCCATATTTACACATTGTTGTCGATTTGTTGATACAGATCTTACACATTTTTCTGTCACTTTTTCGTTACACTTTTTCGTAACAGTTTTTTGCGGAATGACCCTTCCATATAGACGTATTTACGTCAAAAGAAAAAAAGTATTAAACTCTTATCTCAGACTTTTAGTATCCTGTTTTTATCCCCTTAAAAATGAATAGTTTTTATAATTATTTTCATTACTGTAATAATGATAACAATTCTAATAATAATTATGACAAAAACAACAGTGATGATACATGCCTTTGGTTATGTGTTACAAACGTGTTTGTTTCTACAAGTGACATCACTATACAGATATCACATGATATGACAAAAAGAGTATTTTTAAAATGCAGTGTAACAGGGAATCTTACTTGCTAAATTAAACTTAAAAATGTGATATTTAAAATGAAAGTCTTGCACCTTAAAGAAGTATACATTTTATGGCATCTACATCTCTTTTGTGCTGTAAGCCATTTTTTTTAATGTGATGTAATCTTATTTCAGCATAAAGAAATAACATGTGAATTTTACGCATATACGTCCTTCCTACACACTTGTTTAGAATTCATTTCATGGGTTAGCTGTAAAATAGAATCAACTTAAGAAAGTTTATAACAAGTTTGCATTTAACATATTTCCTGTTGCACGCACACCCATACACACAGTCGTTCAAATAAAACAGATGTGACCAACCATCTGATAACACTTTTGCTTAGGTCTGCACAAATATCCTATAAATTTCGGGGCCATCTCCAAAATGTAGGTGTCACAAAATACGCGCACAAGGCGTGATTCAAAAGTCACTAGGTGGTGCACATGACTTGTGTGTGTCATATACAAAAATTCTAGGCACAATTATGAACATTCTAGGCACCATGGCAACCTGACACTCAGGATTGTGCAGGCCTGCTTTTGTTCATCGCCAAGATGCTCGGTGAACTGTTTAGTGAAGATTGTGACTGACACATCTCAAAACTCCTAGTGTTGTAAAGAACATGAAAATATGTAATAATATTTGATTTTATTTACTCCATAAAATTATAAGATGTGAAATTATGAGGTGGGGAAACTGTGGTCTTCTCTTCTAAAATTGTAACATGAAAAATATATGGATGTACAAGTAATTTTCATAGCATAGAACTGTAAAAGTACCTCTATTCCAAATTAATTTTTGCATTATGTGACTAAAATTTCGTTTGAGAAGTGTTTCCTGAGAGCTCCGCATTACTACAATATAAGTAGATAGACCATTCTGATGGCAACAGAACTTCAGCATATAGATCTTCTGAGTTTAAGTATTCTCAAATTAGACACAAAAAATTTAACAAGTCCATGGAGCAGAGTCATTCTTGAAAATCTAATAGTATGCTCAGCTAGTCAGTAAATTCCCCGTCTTTTATACAACCCGAAAGATCCTGAGCACAAAAATATTTATCAAATATTAAACCTGTTCTGAACACCATAATTACAAAGTATTGGTAGCTTTTAGCTACCCTTCCCTCTAGATTATCACTATTACGTGTGTAATTTTTTTTTTTCGGAAAGAGCCTTCGGTGAAGACTACATATTACATCACAAAAATAGTTCTAGTGTATAGTACTGGGAAGTAAGTGCAACAAATAAATTGACTGTAAAATGTGGAAACTATGGATGCATAAGTGTATTGCCATCATGAGCTTTTCATAATATACTGCATGGAATGTACGTGACCCACCACATATTTTGCACTTATGGGATATCACAGGCATTGTGAGACATTAGGTTAAACAAATTAAAAATCAGTATTGTTATAAAAGTATTTTGTTAACATTCAGTAAAACTGAACTATTGATGTCTGTTCCACCCTCTTCTTCCACATATTTTTTTATTCCTACAGATACGAAATAAGGTGATTCCACTTAAGTCATATAAAAATTGCTAGACTTTACTCTCATATCGACACAACTGTTGTACTTACCTACTTTCAGAATTTCAGTATATGTTACTACTATGGCATTCTATGGGCTTCCCCATGTACACATGTTGCTGAGTAAGAAAAGGAAATAGACTTAAACATGTAGGTTTTTTGACAGATACTTAGATAGTCCTGTATATATGTATTATAAAATACTAATCTTAAGCATACTTAGCAATGTAGAAATGAAATGTTGCAAATAATAATATGATGATGATGATAATTGTTCATTTACCAACTTTAAGTCCTTCATTGCTAAATATTTCAATCTAAAATGCCTACATTCCTCTAACATACATTTCTTTCTCAGGTTGTTCTACTAATGGTGGAAACAACTTGCTGATTATCATACTCACTTAACTTTTATTCATAGTCTTAGGTTACTGAATATTCAGTAAATATACTGGCATGTACTTTATAACATTAGAAAATGGACAAGGTTCAAAGGACAGATCTAGTCCTCAAAATCTTGTGTATTTTATGACATTAGACAACGGGCAAGGTCCAAAAACCTACCAATCCAGATTGTTTCTTCAGACTGTAGAAGGATACAAGCCTCTGGGTATAAAAACGAAGAAGCGCTGGAATCGGACAGATCCTATGGAATTGCACTGGTAAAGATTAAGGTTCATAAGAATTGCTACATGGAATATTATGAATTTAATAAAATCAGTTTTTTTTTATGTAAACTTGATATTCCATTAGGTTACAAGTTATGTTACAGGAACAGAATTGAATTGACTGTCAATATATCAACACTGAAACGTCTAATTCTGGTTGCCAATTTTCATTTGAGGCCTGCATAAGCTTCAGCATGTTATTTCTACTGAACACAAACTCGACTCTTCCCCACACTAATTCAATTAAACCACAAAGTTTTTGTTGTCAGTAACTAATTGTTTATGCACAAACTGACAAATGATCTTTGATTCTTCTTTACTGATGTCACTATTCAAAACACAGTCTAGCATTTCCTCTTGAAATAAAACGTAAGGATGACGGTGTTGGTCTTCATCATTACTGAAAAAACACGCTTTTAATTTCCTTAACAGACGTAAGTCACTGCCATGCTACTTCTTATCAGTTGCTTTCAATTTTCCCACTTCCTTCTCGAGCTGAACGCAGGCTTGTTCGATTTCATAGTTTTTACTGACGAGCCCAACCCACTGGGCTTCTAACTGACGTAACTTCTCTCCACCTTGTGTTTGCATGTTCTTCCGTTGCCAGTTGATCTCTTGAATCATCTTCCTATTGAATAAAAATATGCATAAGGAAAAATAAATACAGACTGAACAAAAACTGTTGAAAGGTGTTATTTACCTGTATCAAATTTTTACACTTTAATGGCGGCCAGAAGTTTAAAACTTCCTCGTGAAGCAGGCCTGTCAATTGGGCGAGATTCAGATCTCATAGTAGTGAGTATGACAACCGTCTTCTGCAGTGTTACATTGTATTCTGGTAAACGTTTACCAGTGTTTCAGAGGTGCTTACTGTCTCTATTATCAGGGTGATGACAAATGAATGAATGTTTTTTTTATTATCTGTGACCTGCCTCCCAATTTCCTCTATAAAGGCTTGGCCTCACCAGAGTTTGCTAAATTTCTTTTTTACCTCATGCTCTGGAGTTGTTTCTGAGACTGAGTGACTAACTGTACCAAGACTTCAAGGTAACTTTTCCACGCTTCACAGCCATATTCAACCATCAGCTCCAAATTACAAATTCTGGAACATTACAAAAAGAAATAATATTACAATAATAATTCGGAGAAGAATAAATTCTGGAAATGCTTATTATTCAGTTCAGAAATTGTCGTCATCTTGTAGAATGAAAAAATGCAGACACTCGGTATAACACTTCAACCTGAAGATGGAAGTGATGCAGTGGTAACAAGAACATATGTTGTCACAACCCAGCAGACCACCATTGAGTCTCAGACACATCAAAGTAATTTTTACAGTTATGAATGCATGTGGAATGTTATCTTTTACTGAAGGAAAGATCATAATTATAAGTGTTATAAAATAAGGAAACTAAAGTGCTCAGGAAAATATCTGGCCTGTTAAGGATGAAGTAAGCTAGCAATTCAGAGTATTCTATAATGAGCAGCTTTATGACTTGTACCTGTCACCTAATAATATGTTTTTTGGGAGAGAAGACAAGAAACTTATGTAGAATCTTGGCAGGGAAACCTGGAAGTGCCCACAGAAAAAGTTTTGTTTCCAATCCTGAATTTCTGAACAGATTCTTAACAAAACTAAAATCTTAATTGTCAAATAATGATTATATAATACAAGCCTTGTTGCTTGATGTTCCAGCTGTGCCATGGAATTCTCAACACATTCTGTCCATGCTGCAATATCTGTCATTTTACCAGCAGGTGGAGGTGGAAGTTCGTAACGCTTCATGCTCAGAACATCCATTGGTTGACGTTGTTGCATACGTTCAAATTCACTACGCATTATCTCAGTCTGTAAGGATAAGTTAAGAGAATGGAAATAAGTAGTATGACAGATAAATAAGGCCTCACAGCAAGACACAATTATGTCTGAAATCTGCAAATTAGCCTGATGCTTTACTTACCTCAAATGCGCTCAAATTAAGAGGTGGCAGGTGTTCTAGATAATTTTTTGTAGGTCTGTATCTCCTGGTCTCTTCTTCAACCATTGCTAATGCCTGAAAGTTCAATTAAATTGAAAGATGAAGGTCTAACCTAGACAGGCCAAAACCATCACATTTGCATACCAACATCATGCCTCATAAGTTATATATGCTTAATCGTGGGGGTGAAGGGCGACAGATATATTAATATGCACAATACCCACCGCTTCACGAACGCCAGGCTCATCATAACCTTGATCAATGTATGGAAGGGCATCAACCACAACCTCGCCTGCCATATTTACAAACTTGTGCGCCTTCCCTTTGCCCCAGGACGATCTTTTTGGCCACAGAATACAGAATTGGTATGCAAGGCTATGGAATACCTGAAGGCGTAAATCGCGATAAATGCCCTTATAAACCAATATTCTCCACTACGAACTGTTAGTACTTAACCTGCCTACAATACATATTTCATTCGTAGATGAAGGTTCTAAATTACTACAACCCCCAGAAAATTTAAACATATCTAAAACATTTTATAGTCTGTGATGCAGGCACGTGGACATTGTCATTATCTGTAAGCTTTGAGTTGCTTAGCAATCTCTACGTGGAGATATCAGTCAAGGGCATTTAGTTTCGTAGTGAGTTTAAATGCAGTTATGTCGTCTGTGATTGGTAGCGTTAAACGAATTTTGTTTTTGTAGTTTTAGAAAGTCTCCAATAATTCCAATTATAAAAATCATAATGACTTCCAATACTGTAAAGGCAGGAACTTTTATATCCATCTTGTTTCTAGTTATTGCTTTATTTTATAGACAGCAAGTTGACGATGTATTGAAAGATAGATTAAATTCAATTCTTGAAGGCCTAGTGAAGGTTGAAAAACAGTGTTCGGTGGGTGTAAAACCTAAAGTTGCTGTAGGTTATGGTGCTTGCAACGACCTGTTTATAGACGGCAAAGAATTATTGAAGTATGACGAAGTAGCAAAAAAGCCAGAACATTTTGATGACATAAGTTCAGCTGAGGAACTGTTGAAAACGTATGCATACTTTTTTCGTCATGGAGCTGCTGCAGAGTAAGTAATTTTTTTTTATATTATAGAATGGAACTACTTCAGAATTTGGTGGCCACTTATAACTCACATAATTTGGGGTTTATTTACATTTACTAACTTTCCATAAATTTATACAGTCCTTCTAAGATGCTACTGAATTTAGTTTTGATGTAGGGTAACTGGCAGGGACAACTTGATATTACTGGTTACATATTGTAAAATTGTGCTGCATAAAGAACAGTTTCTGGGTAATCATGCTACAGAAGAAGTTATAATAGAAGTAATACAACTATCTGGATGTATATAGATGTCGTTCTTTCCATGTTGACATTCATAATCATTTTTTCTACTCAGACATTACTTTAAATCAAGATTAATATAGTAACAATCCATTCTAGGAGGTATATCTCTAATGACACACTCTTTGATACAATTGTGGATATTGCTTCACGCATTGAGGGCTCACATTTTTCTCTTGGTGGAAATGCTCCTGTTATGGCAAAGCGATTTGCTCTGGAAGGTTGCGAGGTCTTGCTGGCAGCAAAGATGACACCAAAATTACAAGAATCTCTACCCGAAGGAGTCACAGGTAAGATAAAAAAAATCATTGCATCTTGTATGAGTCCATTCTATACTAGAAAATGTAAATACATGACACACATGATGCAGCAATGTAACCTTATAAATACATGAGGTTATATAAAAGAAAAATGGCACATGTATGTTCAAAAATAACTTATTTCTTCTTGGGTATTTAACATGCTTGTTTTTTATAGATGAGTTATGTTCGTGTATTAATGGTTTGTATCAGCAATTCTGAAAAGAAGAGTTCTATTATGGTGCCCTTGAGCCTCAGAATACCCCGTTTTGTCCCTTGTCAGATCAAATTTAATTGAAAATGCCATTAATCCTTCAGAATATTTATTATTTGTATTTCATTTCTAATAATTTTTTCAATTGTCTTGTCATCTGTTTCTGAAACTACATCATGTACTTAAAAAATTAATTAAACATATTTGCATTGCCAAGTATGTAATTGTGTTTTCTGTAGAATAGAATTAGTAAAAGCAGTTTTAACAGTTCAAATTATTGATAACTTCTGTTATTAACCGTGTTTAGCACATTTAAATGTGGATATATTCGCGAATGCTTATATGATTAGGATTGGTATTGCATGGGATGAGGTGTTTCGAGAGTGTATGATATAATTATATTGGGGGCCAAACTCTTCGGCTATACCCAGGACCCCAGAATTGTCATTTTGGTACTACTTATAAATGGTGGTTTTTTTGGACATAAATACATCTATACGGAAGGGTCATTCGGCAAAAAAGTGTAACGAAGTTGTGTAACATCCATATCAACAATGTATAAATATGGACCGACAACAGTGGTCAGCTTTTATATGAACTCCTGCATACATTGTTATGTTACCTAAGAAACTAATTGTTGCCCATACATAACCTCATCCTCTCAGTTTTTCATAGAACTTGGTGACTCATTACAAACAAGTCTTTCCTCAAATTGTTTTCTTCTTAAATCTAGTAATAATTCAGCAGCAAGGCTTCAAAAATTGCAAAATGGAACTTTGTTCTGCATTTCAGATTACTTAAAAATATGTTTTGTTGTATTATTTTGGTTATGGTTCATACAGGATTTGAGCCTTTGATTAGCCCCTATAAAGTTTGGTGCCATGATATGTTCATGTGGTCTACTTAGTTTTTATATGTTTATTATAGATCAATACCAAAACTTCTTCATACCAGTGACCCAATGTAAATAGTTATTACAATTTCCCAATCATCAGGTCTGAAGTAACAACAGAAATGGGAAACCATGAATCCAGTGCATGTAATGAATATGAATAAGAAAATTTGATTTCATCTCTGCAGAATTATTTCACTGATATTTACCTTTTGCTTAAAATTTATGTAAATGGTACTGAAAAGCTCACAAATTTGGAGGTTACAGATATTTATAGTGTTGTATGAGGCATGAGAAGTGACAGTTCAGAAGGACAAAGAAGGAAGTGGTCACGGACTGTTTAAGGTACTAACATAGCATTCTCGTGGAGGGACTAAATAAAACCTTGTAAAGTCTTCATATAGTCACTCCCAACTAAGATTCAAACCAGATACCTTGTGAATTAATGACACAAGGCAGCATTTGCTCTTAGTCTTTTTATGATTCATTTTAAGTGAATCAGAGCTTTGTATAATTTTCTTTTGTTCTCAGTTTAACCCTCACCAGATGTCGAGGTTTCATGATTTTCTTCATGAAATACACAGATTAGAACTGGTTTTATTACTTACGTCTTTCATGTAAGTGGATTCTGGAATGATTCATTGTAATGGACCATGACTGCTCCCTACTTAACTTCTTATACTAACCTTTTCATCTATGTAGGACAGAAAGAATAGACGATTATCCTGCTTCATCCAGTGCATCTTGTGAAACTTTCTTTGAGAATGATTGTGATTAATATGAAATGAAAGACAGGAATTTCTTTCGTGTGTAAAACAGACTGACATGTTTTCCACAGTTTTCACTTACATTTCCTGTGTTCTTTATAACATCTTGATAGAAGTTGCTTGATCAGAGGATCATCTGACTCTTTGCCTAAGTCTGCACTCTCAGAAAAAAAACTCGCTGTCATCGGTACTCTTAATTTTTCCAGGGATTCTGTGAGTGGGTAGCTAGTAGTTTGATATCACATACACTTGAAATCTGCATTTGGAAAAATTTTGGTTGGCAAAGACAGCTTTCAGTAATAAGCTGATTAGAATGCTGAAAATGTTTCTACCTGAAAGTGAATATGGCAACTACATTATTTACCAAAATGTTGGAAAACCTTCAACATTCTGCATGGATTTTTCCCAAAAGCCAAATTTATACATAAAATGTACATTTAATTCAAAGTCCGTTGTTCTTTCATGAGCCATAGATTGGAGAACACTGCTTTAATCATAACTCCATATATGTTAACAGTCGCAGGAGGAGACATACGAAAAGACGACATCCATTTGATCTTGGAATACAAAGCAAATGAAGAGTGGGGTATCTACAAATCACCACGAGCCAATAGGTACAGCTCTTGTGTTTGATACCTCTTTTTAAAGAGACCTGTAGTTTAAATGATACATTAATTTTTTGTTATGGATTTATTGTGTACAGTGATGTTTTCTTTTATAGATTTATTGTACATAATGATGACAACAATCCTCTTGTGAGTTCACTGGAAGAATTTAATAAATTACTGAAGAAATTTAATCCTAACTTACTTGTGGTCAGTGGCTTACAGATGATGGATAATTATCCGTATCCCAAAGGTAAGAAAGTGCATAATTATAGATAGGGCTTGGAAATTATTGTTGCCTGGCAACTATAAAACGTTAGCTGGCGACTAATTTTCTTCTTGACATTTGGGAATTGATTTTTGGGGGTGTGGATGCAGTTTCATCGAATGACGTTTGCCTGCTACTGCCAAGAATATTGGCGCATGAATTATTTTTTTTCATTTTGTCAGACTAATGCAACGTACATAAAAACATTCATTTGCCAGAGTAAAGGGATGTAAGTTCAGAAATTATAACTGATGTGCCATTGTTGGTTTGCAAGCCTAAAGTTCATGTGTAAATTGTCGGAAAAATCAGAAAACTTGATTTGTTAAGTTTCAGGACTTAAACTCTTTACCTTGGCATAGTGAACTGCCTATTACATGATATAAGTAAAAATGTTTTGAGGATTGACTAAGATTTTAGTTTGTTGTATGCTTACATTGATTGTATCGCATTTCCGTTATGTTTTATGTAATTGTTACAACCAAGGAGCTTTTTGTGAGAAATGTGGTTTCTTTTCAGGTGTGCGAGAACAAAGACTATTAAAGATTCGAGACCAGATGGTAGCACAGGCACCCAACACCAGAGTTCACTTTGAAATGGCATCATTTGTAGAAGCTGAATTGCTTTATCAACTTACACAGTTTATAATCCCTTATGCCGATTCGCTCGGAATGAATGAACAGGTGAAGCATTCAGGATACAGTAATGGCAGTTTGGAAAGTCAAGAGTAGATTTTACAGCTGAATCCAAATCTCCTGATATTTTTAATCATTTTATGCCAATTAAGAACTTAATATTGCAGGTGTTTAAGATTAAGTTTTGTTTGTTAATTTGAATATTACTTTCAGGAATTGGCAAATTTGTACAATATTATGCTATATGGAAACATCAGCTTTGTGTCAGATTCAAACCCCCGTGTTGCGACAGTCCTTGATCAGATGAGAGAGATTTTTCAGTAAGTGTATAAGTTTTTTGTGTTATTCCAGTAGATGATAGTATTTTCCTGATATGTTCCCATGAAGTATATTTAGCACACAACTTTAGTGTGAGATTCATTAGTCATTTGTTTTTACACTAAATTATACTGGATACACTCAGTGTTGTCTGTAAAGAATGTTTTTGTTTAGTTTGGTATCAAGAAGCAGTTTGAACAAAGAGAAGAGTCATCAACTGACGAGGCTGCACGTTCATACGCTGGCATACCAGGCTATCCTTACTGTAAAGAATTCTCCATGGAAGAATTCAAAGGCAGCTGCAGCCAAAGCCTCCCTGACAGCCAACAGGCATGTTTGCGGCTCGAAAGAGGTAAGAAAAAAGTGAATTGTTAGGATAAATCATGATCTATGCTTATTATACTTATGTATGTGTTATGTTAAAATGCTCATTAAAATTTCAACAATGTAGTAGCAGTTTTTTATTCAGAAATTTGCTAAATTAATCCCAATTAAGGGGAAGATGTAAAAAGGAAGGTGTTTCGAAACCTCGATCAAAGCCTCGGACAGACGGACCTAACAGAGGACCGAATGGAAGAGGAGAATTGAGGAGGCCATGGACCGAATACGGACCGGAGAGCCATAGAAGAAGAAGAAGAATTTACACAAACCATATAACATTAGTATTAAGTTGTGATACTGTAGAAATAAGCATTTATTTAATATTTTATCAATCACAGGTTGATATTGAAAAGGCGAAGCTGATAATGGACGATAGCTTCTCGACATCCATTGCTGCCGGCAGCAGACGAGTACCTTTAGATGTGGACCAGCCTGTATCTTGTTGGGATGAGGAGTTGAATGCAGAACCAGGCAGTTGGTTTGCTGTAGAGATATGCATAGCGCCTGTTCTAGTCTGTACAGAAGCCTACCAGACGGCAGGTGGCGGAGACAACATTTCATCAGCTGGTCTATACTTGCAAATATAACAGTGGAATAGTAAGACTTGGATATCATTCCATTTTTATATTTACATTTCATTTTTATATGATGAATAATCAACAGGTATACAGACTCAAGCGGATTAAGACAATTAAAATTCACCATTTTAATAACGATTTCTGATGAATAAGGGATCCTGTCGGTATAGTTAGAAATTAACCTTGAGCAAAATTTAATTATCAGTATTTTTAGTGTTAATGCTGGGAATTTTTAATATTTTATAAGGTATTCCAAGAATCCTTGTTCTGTTTCTTAAATATTTGAAAGTGAAGATAGGAATGCAAACATTCAAGACAAAAGTAATTAATCTTTTTTATGAAATGTACAGCAGAACTAAAATGCAATGTAAAGTTTTAGACAACTCCTTTAGCCGTGTCAGTAACACTTCAGAGAACATATTTTTACTAGTCTCTTAACAACCCAATATTCTGATTATCACCTAAAATTGGGGTTCTGAAATTAAAAAATACCAAAATTGGCTTTGTTAGCAGATTGTTTTTGACTTGTAAATTTGTAATAGTGATATGTTATGTTTATCCGCACACAACTATGGATTCATTCTCTGTATTTGTTATCACTTTAAATTTGTATGATTTTTTATGACCCGCGCAAAAGACATGTCTACATATCTATATTACCTCTTGTTTTTAGCCATGCAGACACTCGCCAGTGTAGTGTAATATCAGTTTTCTCTTTATTGTATTATCACAAATACAGTTGAACCTCCATTTTATATTTTTGAAAGCCCTGCCTAAAAAGACCACTTGGGATACCAAAGTTTAGATGGGAGGATAATCAAAAAAGGACCTTAAAGAAGTAGGATGTGAGGATGTGGACTGAATTTATGATACTAAGGATAGGGACCAGTTGCAGGCTTCTGTGAATGAACACCAATTTTTTCAGTAGATACATGGTTGTTCTTTAACAACATGAAATAGACATATTATAGCTAATGCTTTGTGTATTCATAAAAGGAGCACTTCAAAACAACAAAGAGTAATTCATTATTAGGATTTCTTTATTTTTTAAGTACTTTATAAATGTTTTTATGTGATCACTATTTAATATTTCAGATCTGGCAAAGTTAATTTCAGATAAGGCTGATATTTACACAGATATTTGTATGAAGATTCGTACCCTGAATTCGTGTTAAGAAAAGGTTGGTAAGGTCATAACTGGAGCCCATCACTTCAAGTAATAGCGTGTTTAGTGTTTTTACTCTGAGACGAGGCATGTGCATTGGACGCAAGAGTTTGATTTTACATCTGTAAATGTTTCGTTTAGATAACTTTTTTGCTGTCAGGTGCTAGTGCAGAGTATTATGTTTTGTAATACTTCTGTTGACAGAATATTGATTTAAAGGGACCAGAAGGAAGTACAATTTGAACTAATGTATTTACTATAACCGTCAGATGCAACTTTTTGTTTTATGTACCCATCATATTTTGCTTGCGATATTTTTTACGTAAGGGTCATTTTACTATCATGTTTTCTGGTCTAGACCACAAAGAAACATTTTTGTGTCGGTTAATATGACTGATAATTAACTGAATTCAAATTATTTAAAGAGGGAAGTCATATAACTATTTTATAAGATATTGTAGATGCGTCATATTGTGATTTATATAGTATTAAAAATATATTAAAATTAGCCGTCAATCACAATATAGTATTATTAAAAGATTAAAATATCATTTTACGTTCCCTATATTTTATATTAACATGTTAATGGTCTTCATAGATATTACCCTTTCAGTTTTATTAATGTATGCTGACAAATATCGCAAACTTATACAAAATGTATGTTCTCCAGAAACTGCTCAGTGTAGTGAAGTAGTTCCATATATAGTTCAAATTTTCCTTATCCTTATTACAGTTCTTGTTTTTTTTAACACTAAACAAGGCTTTATATTGTGCGCAAGCCATCGTTAATACTTAGAAATGTTTAGTGTTGAAGATCACTTACAGTGGAAGTAAGTATTAAGTAAATGCATCAAGTTGTTCTCTAGTCATATATCTAGATGTACAAAGCTTGATCAAAATGTTCGGTGAATTATGTCACCTCAACACAGCACGTTGCCTGTGGATGATTCCAAAAGAAAACTTCCAGATATGGGTCCAGTAGTGGCACGAGGACTGGAATAAGTGTGTGCGCGCACCAGAGGGGAAAACTTGAAGGGGATTAGTGACAAATAAGTATTTGATCAAGCCTTATACATGTTACATGGATTGTAAACTACAACTTGCCTTTGTTCTTAGTTTATGGATGTTAATTTTGTACAGTGTGATAATGATCAGGACCCTTGCCCAGTCAGGTACAAAGTTGGTCCCCCCCCCCCCCCCTTTTTTTTTTTTTTTCTTTCAACTTGCTGTCTAGCAGACTGCAAATAAATCTAACATTACATTATCAAATTTGTGTTTAAGCATTTAAACAGGAAACAGTGCACCACTGAGCAATATATATACACTGTACAGACATCCATATTTGCTGTGGTTTAGAAACTGTCTTTGTATTTTATTTTTATGTATGGACCATTTTTCAGGCACTGTCTATCTCCATATGTTGATGTGACAATGCTATTTTAAATCCGTGTGCCACATTCCATCCTTATGGTAGCATATATATTTGAAATACAAGCAACATGCAGTGTTTTGTTTATACATTCCTGTAGAAAATGTTTTAGCGAATACTTTATTTAAAATTGTTGGATACAACTGGCTTAGCAGACATAGTAAGTACATGAAATTGTAATTACCATAATGTTAATATAAACATAATGATAAGGAACGTGAGATCCCAACTACATACAAAGCAATTTGGCACTTTTAAAACTTGGTGCTTTATAGAAGAGAATTTAATCAGATTCTAGATAATCAGGCCAATTCTTTCTTGTTCACTTGACAGAGGTTGCACCTTGGATGTGTATTTACTTAAATGTTGAGTGTTTAAGCATCATATCATTTGACACTATGTAATCTTAGCGATTGAAAATGTATGATCAATAATATAAAAGGACTGGCACAAATAAAAATGTGCTTGCTGAAAATTGTTACCACTTTACTGTTTTACTGTGAATAACTTTCGCATTTAATGACTATATGTCATTTTTACCCATTTTCTTGCTAGTGCTAGAAGTTACGGTATTTAACTTATGACCTAGCAAGAATGAAGACATTCATTCTTGAAACAGAAGTAACCGTAAAATTCCATTTTCTCCTGGCCATGATATACTGAGGATGATTGTTGAAAAATGGGCATGGTTACCAGACCTGAGGGGGAGACATTCGGTAGGACTCCTTGGACGAGGGATCAGCCCATCGCAAGGCCTCTACCTGTACACAGGACAGCACAACACAGAAAAACGCGGACAAACATCCATGGCTTGAGTGGGATTCGAACCCACGGTCGCAGTGACCAAGCGGCACAAGGCCTCCTCAGACCACGCGGCCACTGTGACCCCCACGACAAACAGCAGTACCCCACCAAATTTAACTGCCTCAAGGATCAACCAAAACGGATTAATTCATATGTCAAGAACAAAAGGAATAAGTCAGTAAGAAAATAACTGCACATATTCACCACATACATGCTATTAGTGGAATATCTGAAACCCTTTTAAACAAAGGTAAATAAGAAATTGGCACCCTTCATATTAAGTATCACTGCTTCAAAACATTCTAGTGGAACCTCTCAGTTTACTGAAAACTTTGTCTGCATTAACCACAGTATGGTAGAATTAGAATGAACCCCCACCCCACCCAAATAAGGTTCCTTGCAGTGTGAAGTGCAATTCAGTGCTTTTTCGTCGGTACTAAATAGACAGTTCAACATTCCATATTTACTCATTATCAATTAAAAGTCTGGGCACTAACCAGAAATCACTCCAAGACGCACACAACAAAAAAGAATGCATTTTCAACTTTTGGGTCTTTGTTCTGGCACCAGTAATTGTACCAACTTCTTGCCTTGATTCATTTTGTGTGTTCCAGGCTATACATATTTCATGTGCAAGCTTTTTCTTTATAAAATTCACAGATCTTGTAACACTGGTTTATTAAATAAAACAGTATTGGAAAATTGTTGAAATTTACATTTCAGTCATACGTATATATCTTTGGTTGTTAATACAGCATTTATAAATGTGTAAATTTAATAAAAAGTAACATTTCAAATACATTAGACCAACTTAATATTTATTTTAAGTTTTTCTGTGTTTAAGAACCTTGCAGTCAAATATTGAAAGAGATCAAACAAGAAGACACGGCACACCGAATGCAAATCGGCATACAGCACAGCACTCTAAACTTCATTTCTTCTCGGAGTAAGCTTAACACGGTTATTCTGGCAACTGAACAGGCCACAATAATGGTGAGTTGTTAACCTCAATTTTCCGGACATACCAATCTCATTAAAATGTTACGAAGTTGCAAAAGTGCAATACAAACAAACTTTGTAGAACACATATTTACAGACGGTATAATTATAATGCACCACCACATTAGCCTTGGGGTAAAGCATAACCTGAAAGGTTCACAGTGTAAGCTGAAACGAGCCAAATGTTGATGTCTGACCTTTTGCTGTATCTAGAAGAGCGAATGTGATGCACTTTTCAGAAAATCATATTGCTCAGGCAAACAAAGACTAGAAATTATACCATACCATTCAGAAGAGTCACATTTGAATCCCAAACCAACATTTTTTTTCCTCTGTGTTGTATGGAGCAAACTATGACAGAGAAATCTGTACTGCTTTATGACTTTTTGTTTTTCGCAGCCAGCTCTCCGTGGTGCTTTATTGTGGTACTGGCCTTCCACATGTTCTGTGGATGTATTTTTAATACCTTACAAGAACAAAATCAGTAATGTATATCGAGGGCATCGTGCAAGAAAGGTGTATTAAATTATCTGCACAATTGGTGATATTTGGCTAATATAAAATAGTGGGATATATGTCATGCCAGAAGGGCATAACGCACATGTGTCAAACCAAATAAGTGTAAGAATTTTGTGTCCTGTAAATCAGTCATTTTGTTCATACACCCTTCTGGCACGATGCCCTGGATGCACAACGAAGAATGGGAGTCTATGTTTTATGTGCTTATATCGTCTTGCATTGTCTATACTATTAAAACCACGTTGGCTTTGTCGTCATAAGAGCTGGCGATCTTGGTCTTCTAGATTGTGCTGCATGGTCGTGATTACTAATGTTTCAGAGGATCGCCTCCATCTTCAGGAGTCTGTACCGCATACAAGACTACAATGTCACAACCCACAACACCATGATCGACATCTTCACCACTGTAAGAACTCCAAATCTCAGATACATCTAAGAGTTTGTAACTACAGAAGTGAATATTAAATATCAAGTAAAGTGAGGATACTGAAAGTAATAGTTCCAGTACTTGTCGGCAAGTAAAGTAAACGCTGGCAATGAAATTACTCTGATGCCCTCCAATGCTTTTGTATATTTAATCCTTGCTCACTTCGTTGCATGCTCTGATGAGAAACTGCCACACCTTCCCTCAGTGCTCATCAGCAAGTTCCGGGGTTCTGCACATCGCCTTGAATACATTACCGTCAAATATGTACTGAAAAAATGCACCAGCTTCAGTTTCAATTACACATTTCATAACTGTACATGATTCTTTATACATACCAAATATTACATGTTGCGTGTAGATACTTGATGGTGTAAGTGATAAGAGTATATATGTTAATTTCCATTATCACGTTCTAACATCATATACTAAGTCAGCATATTTCATGTTATTCAGAGTAATGAACTGGTGGAAAAACTTTAAGTTTTCTTAAGTGTGTAAAGTAAAATAAAGCTGTCCCACTATATGCCATCCAGGCGCTTGAGAGGAGTGGAGGTATAGCCCCTACTCTTTCTTGACCTCGGCACTAAATGGGGGTGAGTGGTCGGCATCACGCCCCGGCCGTGCTTTACCCCGGGAAAGGACCCTGGTACCCATTGGATAGGAGGCTGGGTGGGCCCCAGAGTCGGTCTGGACGCAGAGGCTAGAGGAAAAATCCTCTGCCCTTGTCAGGGATCGAACCCCGGTCGCCCAGTCCATAGCCAGTCACTATACCGACTGAGCTATCCCGGCTCATTCTTAAGAGTGTACGTCTGGAAATTTATTCAAAAACTGAAACCCATATTTGGTTTCACATTGAAGTTTTTGGTATATTTACTTTCACGGGTATTGTAGCTTGTCTTTTGCTGGACATTAATACAAACGATAAACTGATCAAAGCACGTGAGAAGTCAAATATGATCGACAAAAGTTCAGTATCAACAAAACCGTAACATTAAAAGATAAAAGTTTGATGCGTTTTACATCTCTCCCATGCATGCTACATACACTGCTCTTCTCATTTTCTTTAACTTGGTCATCCTAATAACATATGGTGATGCGTACAAACTGTGAAGCTTCTCCTAATGGAACTGTCTCCATTCTCCTGTTGCTTCCACCCTCTAGGTCCAAGTACTCTCCTAAGCACCCTGTTCTCAAATACCCTCAATCTTCATAATTCCCTTAACATGAGAGACGAACTTTCACATCCATATAAAACCCACTGCAGGAAATCGGTACTAAATAAGCTAATGTGCTAGTGGAAAAGAAAGTCCTGGTACATGCAAATAACGACACCGACAAATTTCCAAATTATATTTTTATTGATTCTGTAGTAAACTTTGATATATAACTAACTCCATGGAGCAGAGTCCTCGTTGAGAAACTAACAGTAACTGCTCGGCTAGTCCCTGCCTTTTTATTACCACGTTAAGAAGAGTCCACCACCAGTCCTAATGCAGAGTCACGTACTTGCAGTGTAATTAAAAATAAAAATCTGTGTAAATGCAAACATGTATTCTTCACTAATGTTATTTTCATGCATAAAACATGGTATGTAATATCTTACACTCTGATTTCCTCTTTGAAACAGAAAGTGCCTTCTTGATAGCTGTCCAGTCCTCCAATATATCTGCATCGTTCAGCATGTAGACGATATACGGACCAGACACAGTGACTGGCTTCTTGCGGGAGGAGTTGAGTGAGTCGGCCATCTTTCCTGTACCTCCAGCGCCACGTCTAATCATCTTTCCAGCATTGTTGTAACTCTGCTCCACTAGCCAGAGGTCAGCACTAATGTCAACATTGTTGCGATCTTCTTCTAAATGCCTTATTTTATCTTCCAAGTCACCATGTATGGAGTCCCACAAAAGGCACTTTTCACTCTGAAACATGGTAAATTAAATTAATGGTCTCTGAAACTTTGTCGCTTGTGCCCATGTCAAAATCTTAAATCTATTGACGGTTTATAAGAGTTTCAAGGTAATCTAACTTTATCCTTATAAAATCACTAATGATTTGTCATTAAGACTTCATAAGATGTGAAAACCTCACACTTTTCCAGAAAACAGGCAGTACTTACATCCACACAAAATGTCTCCATTTGATCATCCAGGCATTCCAAGCTACCAGATAGAACACAAGATTTAAACACGACACTTTATTAATCTGCCACACCCCTCATTTCCAGTTGGCTCACACCAGTGACATTTTCAGGATAAATACCTCGTAGTTCTGTGACGATGCTAGTTCCTCGGCTTCACATTTATTACGAATGTTGGCGAGACGAAATTCACGCAGGATCCCTGCAACTTCTGTACGAATTCTCATATTTTCTTGTAGCTCTTCTAATGGTTGTAGATATTCCTGTGCACGTCCACATCTTACTTCACCTAATTTGGTGTCTACTTGAGTAATACGTTCCCGATATAATCTGATTAAAAGTTACAATATAATCTGATTAAAACTCAATCACGGTACAGCATGATGTTTAAACAATTTTACTCAATGGAGTGGAGTCCTTGAAAAGCTAATACTACGCTCACCTAGTCAAGAAATTCTTTGTCTTAGAGAACCTGATTGGCTCATTACTGTGTTCACAAGAAACCACCACCTGTTTTATCTGGAGTCGGATGAATCCACACTCGAACCCTATTTTCCCAAGATTAATTTTATATTATTCTCCTACCTATACCCAAGTCTTCAAAGTGGTCTCTTCCCTTCAGCATTTACAAAAAGACTTCATTAAGGGACTAATGTTCTAACATTAATATGAAAGGTAGGGAAAAATATTGATCGTATGAAGAAAATCTTGGCTGGAAATAAGAAAATATCCTTCAACTTCAGATCTCAATAAATCAGACATTTTAATCCATGTGCAATGTCAGTAGTCGTAATACAAGCTGTGAACAGGACAAAATACTTCCCACAACCATAATTAATGTTTAATCTTCAACAAAGATATAACATACATTTTAAGGTCTATGAATGGAGTCAATTTATTTTTTCCAGGAAAGCAAATATATTTGCCTGTGTCTGATTAACACTTACTGTTCTCGAAGAAGAGAGAACTGCCTTTCTAAATCAACTAAATTGTCCACGCATTCAGTTCGTCGCCTCTCACATTCCTCTTCATCCATCTCTGAAAATTTATAGCCAAATGTTAATGCCATGTAATATAACCAGTATTTTACTTTCATGTTACGTAATACATAATAACATTCTACCTGAACTGTCATCTGAATCAGATGGTGCATCACTGCTGTCACAGCTGGAACTGGATTTATCTGATTCTCCAGATTCATGCTCCATCTCTTCTCCATCGCTGTCTTCCCGGTCATCTTTGATGCCATGCATGCTGAGTAATTTTTCACTACATAAATGAAGATATAATATAACACAAGTAATAGTAAATACAATTCATACATTACACAAATACACTTGCCACTATGAACAGCTTAAAAACTACAAAGTTTTAATGGAACAACTTCAGGACACAATTACAACTGTACTGGTGATGCTATTGCTCCACATCTCAATATATGCTGGGCAGAAACCCGTAACATAATTTACAAATTCAAATTTCATCAAGGGCAATATACTGCCCCCATCATCTTCAAATCCACATGGGCACCACAGATATACTAGGTTAATGTTTCTACTCATTTGTAACTGGCCACATATGAACCGTATTGTTGCTGCATAATACACCATTACCTTAGATATTAGTTATATTCAATTAATTGCTCTTTAGATGGGAAAACTTTAATATATATTGCTACTACTCAAATATAACCTCAATCCATCACTCTAATAATGTACTGATTGTTAGTAACACAACACAGCGGTGAAGGTGAAATACCCAACGCCTCGTAGGTACGGCAGGATAGACATCTATACGCAATTGTAAAAATTTGAAATGTGAATAGAGATTCAACTACGGTAGCTCATTCCTTTGGGGCGTTCGAGTCCATTTGTGATACTGGTTACTTGCGTTCCGACTGACCACAGTTAAATTACGAATCTGGTATTAACTGTGGATATTTTGTTCTGTATGGCTGACCAGTCCCATATATATGTTTGATACGTAATGCAACAGTATAGTAGAATGACGAAGACTGGGGATTTGTATACTGAAGAAAAGTAGTAGTAAGTAAAATTATTCATTTGGACATTGCCTTTATTTTAAATAAAAAAGTGCTTGCTATATTTATGATCATAGCTTATTACGTGAATGTAAGGAGCTATGAGGTTTTATACATCTAACCATACCAAACCTAACCTAACATAACCCAAAACAACCACTTCTCAAATTAGGTTTGTCTCTCTCAATTCACTGATCAGTTCAGGCTATTCAGTTGCATGCCCGTAAAATAAATTTGCGAATTAAATTAAGAAAATTATGGGGTCCACAGATGTTGCTAAGAATACTGTGAAGCATTAAAATTCATTGTGTCCCTCCAACTAGTCACATAAGCATGTAGTTGGGTTTGTAGTATATGTTTCATACAAGTTAAAATCTATAATTTAACTGCCTGAAGTATTAAAACATTTAAATGTACTTTGTTTGGATGGTGGTGGAACTGTCATGCATCTCTAAAACACTGATCAACTTCTATAAGACTATATGACACAATATCCCAGAAGGCTACCAACTTCATGCTTGGTGCTGTGAGAACTCTAGTCTTACACTTCTGATTGTTTGTTACTTGTTTGCAGGTCAGAATCCGTTTCTAGTAGCAGTAGCTGAGTTTGATCATGCTCTGGAATTATGATGTTCAGAGCTCTGTTATGCAGCTGATATTATCCAAGTGTTACAAAACTTAAAATCATGCTTCATGACAGTGATATTTTGGAACTCCAGGTAAACAGTGTGGTAAATTTACTTGCCATTAGAAGTGGAAGTTTTTTATACATTCAAGGTCTTCAGTGTGAGTCAAGCTTTGTCTACCAGTGGTTTGCAGTCCATCAGTCCATCCCAAATCAGGGTGTAGGGCAAGTCAGAGAACAAAATTTCAGATTCAGAAAATACCGGTAAATGAAATTAATTTAAACAACATTTCCCAAGAACAAAATGCACTTAAGTAGACTATACTGCTTACATAAATACATCATTAACAGTTGCTTATCAATTTTACATCATATTTAAATGTAGCTAAAATTTCATTACTCTCAAAATATGTTTCTTATTAAACATCAACATTCACATTTGTGAATATTACATTAGGTTATTCTTATATAAATTATATGCTTTTATATACAACTTTTACAATCAAATACATGATTACATTCCAATATCTATATAAATAAATACCATATACAAAATTTACAGTCAAAAACACAGTTCAAGAAAGATTGATATTTTCATACAAGGTTAGAGTACAGTATAACTTTATGATTTTACGAATTTTTGTCAAAGAAAGTTAAGCAGTATTCTACATTTCAATTGTCCTTCTGTAAATGATACTTTACATAAAATTCACAGATAAATCTGATCTCTGAAGGTCACCATAGTTTTCAGTATCAAATTAGGTGATTTGTTAAAAGAGCCAATATAAATAACAAAACATAAATTATTATTGTAATTTATTCCTAAAACAATGAAAAATTCGTAAAAATAATATTAATTCCACAATATTTTAGGGACTGTGGAGGTAATGTAATGTAATTTAGTTGTAACTTGTCTTATTTTTATAAAATAATCAATTCTTTCGTTCACCCAACGTTCATGATATTTTGCCTCATAATTTAATTGCACTGTGTGAATAAGTTAGCAAATTAGTTAATTTATAGTCTCTGTATGACTATATTTTGCTAACTTAGACATGGCAGTGATTATTTTGTTTGGTACATGGCGTATAAACTGTCTTAGAGGTAAAAAAATTATTTCTAGCAAATGTTCGCAATTTGTGTCTCGTTAAAAGAATCCCTGTTGCCATCTGTGTCTTATCACATGTTTCCTTCCTATATTTGTAAAATTTTGCTGAGTATTCTGTATTTCTCAGCCGTGCGTTCAAAGTGGAACCTTATCGTATTTTAATGCACCGTATCTGCTACGCTTTATCCTGTTTATCACAGACGTTAGCCAATGTTAACTATTGAATATCACAGTGAGGAGTAGTTTTAGAATTTAGCATTTCATCTGCAGACTTTGAGGACACACGAGACTGCTAACATAAGAGCTATATGTTCATGCATAGCATGGGACAGCATTTTGATTTGTGATGAATTATTGAACGATAAGGGTTTTGTGCTATGGAATATTGTGTTCGAAAAGTTGATCTGCAGAACTTGACCGGGAGGCGTGGTAGCTGATGGATGCGAGTACAAGATCAAATTTGTTACAGTTGAATCTATATCGCACAGAGGAGGGGCGTAATAAGCGACGGATTTCTGTTGGAAATAATCGAATATGTTTCGGAGTGACGATTCGCTGCAACTAGAATCTGGGCCAAACAAAATTACCTGTAATTTATTCAGTGGTTGCATTGTTTTTGTATCCAAATTTTTTAATGGATTTCCTATCATTCGTAATGAAGTTAAGTTGGTAAGACGTGTGAAAGCGTCAGGTGGCATATGTGTTACGTTACAGAATGAAATGTCCAGATGAGAGAGAGATTCTGATATGAGGATTGGTCCCGTGTTTTGTGTCGATAAACTGTTATTTTTTAAAAATAAGTATCGTAGTTTTCTGTTGCTTTCAAATAGATGTGGTGACAAAATTGAAATACAGTTGTTGGAAAAGTCTATATACTTCAATTCATCCAAACTTACAAATAAATCTGGATCCAAATCTTTTATAAGATTGTTTCCAGAACTCAGTACTTCCAGGTTCCTTAGCCCTCGAAGGGCGTACATTTCAAACTCGGTGATATGATTATTGTTTATTTTTAGTTTTGTTAGATTTGGGGTTCCGCTGAAAGCATCGTGTGGTAAGAAGGTTATTTTGCAGAAAGATACATCCAGGACAGAAAGGGATGTTGAGACTAAAAATGGCCCTGATATTGAAATTTCGTTGTGATTTAGATACAAAAATTTAATTCTTTCATTGTTCTGAATTACGTTTGGTGGTATCTTTAAAATCTTGTTATGTGACAAATCTAAATATATTAAATTGTATAAACCATCAAAAGCTTGTTCACGAACTTCTCTGATGTCATTATATTGCAGTAGCATTATTGAGACGTTTGTAAGTCCGTGAAAAACATAATCATGTATTGTCGTGATGTTGTTGAATATCAGAGCAATTTCTTCGAGTTTCTTGTCAAAGTATTGAGGGATTTTAGTGAGATTGTGGTCCCAGCATACAGCAACTTTCTTTGAATCGCCAGTGTCACACCAGC